GCAATGTAGTTCGGTGCAGATCAGTCTAGCGAGGTGCAGTGAACTGACTTTCCTGTATGGTACTTTCCAGTTCAATCCAGGGTAATGCAGTGTAGTGCAGTCTGGTGAAGTCAAGCTCAAGCAAAGACAGTCCAGTTAGGTACAGTGCCGTCCAGTTCAGTCTTCTGAAATGCTGTCCGGCTCAGTCCAGTCCGGTCCAGTCCACTCCGCTAACGTGTATTCCAGTCCAGTTTAATCCGATCCAGTCCATTAAGTGGAGTCTGGTTCCATCCCGTCCCGTCCACTCCAGTCCCGTCCCGTTGAAATCTATTGGTTCCCGTTTACTCCATTCCACCTAAGTACATTTCAATCTAGGATAGCCCAGGTCCATATAAGTCAACAGCAGTCGAGTCTAGTCCAGTGAAGTGCAGTGCAGAGCAGTGCAATCCGTAACACCTCAGCCCATTTCCGTTTCGTCTAGTTGAGAACAACTAACTGCCGTTGAGTCTAGCACAACGCAGTCCTGCTCAGTCAAGTTAGGAACAACCAAGTGCATTGCGGCCCGTCCAGTCAAGTGAAGTGCTATTCGGAAAAGCCCACATTTAAGCCCATACAAGTGTATTTCAGTCCTGTGTTGTCTTCAGTTGTAACACCAACACAATCAAGAGCGTCTACTTACGGCATTGTCGTAGACAGATCTTTTTTAATGATACCTTAATAAAAGTATACCTGATAACTTAAAAATAAACAAGAATAACTGATAATCAATAAAACATAAAATAAAGAAATAAAATATATTTCTCAATCACTGAAAACATTGATTAATTCTTGAAGAACTAAATAAATGATGAATTAGTAGGGAGATGAATAAATATGTAAATAAATTGATATATAAATAAGTTAAGAAATACTTACGTTATTAACTGAATACAATTTTATCGTATGGTCAATGTGTTTAAAATGTTTTCGCAGAATATTAAAATATAGCACCACGCTGTCTTAACGGTTTGCAAGTATTTTTTCTCACAAGACTCAGTTTTACCAAGACGCCGTTAGTGATGGTCGTTAGTGATTTAAGGCTGAATTTGAAACACTGAGATATCAGTAGAGCAGGACTGGAATGGATAATCATAACAACAAGCTAAGCAACAGCTGCAAGAAGAATCCAAAGCTAGGACATGAGCACAGGTACGTTACATTACTTAGTAGTGGATTAAAGGCTAGTCAAAAAGGATTGTCTTCATCTTAGAAAAGTACTACATAGTATACTATAGTAAGGTATTGAATCCAAGGCTGGGAGATTAGTAAAACAGGACTGGAGTGCTTCGTGAAAATAATCAAAGACTAGGACATAACCACAGGTATGTTAAGTGTCTCAGTAAAGGAAGTATAGTCTAGTCTAGTGTAGGAGACAAGGTCGTCTCGAGTTTGCCTGAATTGATATAAAAGAACAGCGGACCCTTTTTTCGGTTTAAGAGCTTTAGACATTTTAACTTTCTGTGGCTCAAGAAAAGCTCATTTTCAGCGGTTTAGCATCACTGAGAAGGTAAGTAAAGAATTATAACAATGTGATACTAACCTTTGTAAGATGGGTTCGTTGGCTGATAGCAAAACCCTGATGCGTTGCATAAAGTAGTTTTAGGAGAAAGTTCTGGTCGTTTAGCACTACAGGTCATCTGACAGAGGTAAGGCCGGCATGTTTTGATTGCAACGAGAATTACAACAATGTGATACTAACTTGAGAAACATAGGTTCGTTGATTGATAGGAAAACCCTGATGCGTTGCATAGAGCAGTTGGAGGAAAAAATCTTGGTCGATCAGCACTACAGGTCATCTGAAAGAGGTATGACTGCGTGGCTCAGTTTTGATCAGAGCAGGACTGGAGTGCTTCATTAAAAGATAGCCACAACCACAAGCTAAGCTACAACCGCGAGAAGGATCCAAAGTTAGGACATAGCCACAGGTGCATTTAATTTCTGAGTAATGGATTAAAGGCTAGTCGAAGCAGAAAAGTACTACAAAGTATAGTATAGTAAACAATTGAATGTAAATCTAGGATATCAGTAAAACAGGATTGGAGTGCTTCATGAAAAGATAGCCATAACAAAAAGCTGAGCTACGACAGCGAGGAGAATCCAAGGCTAGGACAATAACCATAGGTATGTTAAATGTCTCAGTAAAGGAAGTATAGTCTAGTCTAGTCTAGTTTAAGAGTTAAGGTTGTCTTGAGTTTGCCAGAAATAATATAAAAGAAGAGGGCGCCTTTTTCTCGATTTAAGAGCTTCAGACAATTTAACTTTCTGCAGCTCATTTTCAACGGCTTTCCATCACTGAAAAGGTAGGTAAAGAATTATAATACTGCGATACTAATCTTTGTAAGATGGGTTTGTTGGCTGATAGGAAAACCCTGATGCGTTGCATAGAGCAGTTGAAGGAAAAAGTCGTGATCGATCAGCACTACCGGTCATCTGAAAGAGGTAAGGCCGGCATGTTTTGATCGCAAAAAATTTTTTTAAATATTTTCTTTTCTCCATGACCTCGTGGCTCAGTTCGGATCAAAGACGGACTGAATAAAAAGATAGCCATTACAGCATAGTGAGCTACAACAGCGAAAAGAGATTAAAAGTTAGGACATAATAACAGGTACGTGTACTTTCTGAGTAATGGATAAAAACTACTCGTCTTTCTCTTAGAAAAGTACTACACAGTTTAATATTGTATTAAATATAAAGCTGGATTATCGATAGAACAGAGCTGGAGTGCTTAACGAAAAGATGGCCGTAACAAGAAGCTGAGCTACAACAGCGAGGAGAATCTCAAGCTAGGACATAACTACAGGTATGTTAAATTTCTGAGTAATGGATGTATAGTATACTTTAGTCTAGTCTAGTGTAGGAGCTAGCGTCGTCTCCAGTTTGCCAGAATTAATATAAAAGAAGAGCGGGCCTTTTCTTCAATTTAAGAGCTTGAGACATTTTAACTTTCTGCAGCTAAAGATAAGCCCATTTTCAGCGTCTTTGCATCACTGAGAAGGTAAGTAAAGAACTATAACAATGCGATACTAACCTGTGTAAGATGGGTTCGTTCAATGATAGGAAAACCCTGATGCGTTGCATAGAGCAGTTGGAGGAAAAAGTTATGGTCGATCAGCACTACAGGTCATCTGAAAGAGGTAACGCCGGCATGTTTTGATTACAACAAGTTTTGTTATATTCTTTCTTTTTAGTAGGACCTCGTGGCTCACTTCGGATCACGTCATAAACAAGAAGCACATCGAGCGCTTCATAGGTAATATGTAATCGTTTGTAAGAACTATTCTCTCTTCTAGACTATCTGAAATTTTCTGTTTGCAGAACTGTTTAGGTGGCTTCCTGATTAATTAAAGTTCAAGCTAAGATATGAGTAGAGCAGGACTGAGAGTGCTTCGTAATAAGATAGCCATAACAACAAGCCTACCTACAACAACGAGGAAAATCCAAAGTTAGGACATAACCTCAGGTACGTTAAGTTTTTGAGTAATGGATTAAAGGCTAGTCGAAGCGGGTTGTGTTCCTCTTACAAAATTACTATATAATAAAGTATGGTATTAAATTTAACGCAGAGATATCAGTAGAGCGAACTGGAGTGCTTCATGAAAAGATATTCATAAAAACAAGCTGAGCTACAACAGCAAGAAGAATCCAAGGCTAGGACATAACTAGAGGTATGTTAAATGTCTCAGTAAAGGATGCATAGTCTAGTGTAAGAGTTAAGGTTGTCTCGAGTTTGACAGCATTAATATAAAAAAAGAGCGCGCCTTTTTTTCGATTTAAGAGCTGCAGACACTTTAACTTTCTGCAGCTCAAGATAAGCTCATTTCAGCGGCTTAGCATCACTGAGAAGGTACGTAAATAATCATAACAATGTGATACTAACTTGTGCAAGATGAGTTCGTTCACTGATAGGAAAACCCTGATGCGTTGCAGAGAGCAGTTGGAGGAAAACGTTATGGTCCATCAGCACTGTAGGTCATCTGAAAGAGGTAAGGCCGGCATGTTTCGATTAGAACAAGTTTTTCTTTTCAGCATGATCTCGTGGCTCAGCTCGGATCAGAGCAGGACTGGAGTGCTTCATATAAAGATAGCCATAACAACAAGCTGAGCTACAATGTTAATGTATGTGCGCCAAGATGGCTGCCGCTTACTGTCGTCGTTGTTGTTTTTTTAAGCTTTTGTGCTTTGTTACCTTGTTCGTTCAGTATCTTGACAAGCACAATTCAATCTGTTCGCCTCCATCTACCTTTAAAGGCCCTTTTAGCGTCAGTCGAAAGCTATTTTCTGCTTCTCGCTGCGGTCAAGACCTTGCTGTTGCAAGACGCTCAACTAAGTTACCGATCACCAAATGGTCAAAGCATGGTTCGACGGTTGCTGCTCTGTCTGAAAGAGGTTTCATCAAGGACCTATCTATTGCAGTGGATGTTGAAATTAACCCGGGTCCGGAAAATTTTAACTACATGCCGACTGCTTCACTTCAAACTTCAAGACCTAGATTTTCTTTCAGTCGACGTAATTTATTTCAACTTCGCTCCTGTTGTCCTAAGGTTAAACTGGATTATTATCTTATTCATCGCTTAAAGTCATTGGGAATTTATAGAGCTAGAGGTCGTAGAGCTGGTGTTAATTCTAGATTTGGATCTCGTCAACAACATCACAAGATTCCAGTTCGTGTCACTGACCACTGTTTTTTATCAACGACCAAACGCGCACGACTTCGACCCAAGGATACAAATTTGCATTTCATTTCTACTCACTCTTCTTCTTTACCCCGAATAATCCCCAAATGTATGGTCATTAATGCAAGATCACTTGTGAAAGTTGATGCTGCTTCTGCTTTGCATATGGAATTGCACTCAAACAACTGCGATATTTGCATCATCTCCGAGACATGGCTTAAACCAAATTTTCCATCTCATCTCGTTTGTCCGAAGGATTACTCAATTTTGCGAAAGGATAGAACTGACCGGTCAGGCGGTGGTGTTGCTATTGTCTGTAGGAGCGATTGGTTGTTGGAACGATTAGACAGCGTTTTTTATAATGCCTTTGAATGTTTGTGGGCTAAAATTACAACTCCCAACTCAAGCTTTTATGTGGCTGCTGTTTATCATCCTCCAGATCCGCCATATTGTCCTGATGATTTATTGGAACATCTAACAAATAGTTGTGATCATTTATTGACTGGTAATCCTAACAGCAACCTTATAATTTGTGGTGACCTCAATCAGCTAGATTACAATGATTTTCTTACACAACTAAATTTATTCCAGATGGTAAATACACCGACAAGAAAGAACAAAATTTTGGATGTTTTGATTACTAACGTCCCACATTTTTTGGAGGAAAGTATCGGTCACTCAAGGACTAGTTCGATCTGACCACTCTGTGGTCCTGGTATATCCCAGAATCCCACTTAAGGCTGAAAGGAAAACTGTGATGTTCAGAGATGTTCGTGATCATCATAAACTGGATATGGATAAACTGTTGAAGTTTCATAACTGGGACAATGTTTATCAATGCGGAGATGTGAATGGAAAACTTAATCTTTTTTGTACCAAGATTAAGACCATGTTTGATGAGTGTTTTCCGGGTATATCAGTACGTGTGTCTAATAGGGACCCTCCGTTCTTTTCTCCTCTAATCAAACATCTACTGGACCAACGGCGAAAATTGATTCGGCGAAGTAACATGTCAGGAAATTCTGTTTCGATTGAGATCCAAACTCTTCAAGAGAAAATCAACAAGTTGATCAGAGATAATCAAGTTCGAGCAGTTAAAGGGAATTTTGAGAAACATAGTGCAGGATCCAAATCTTGGTGGTCAACAGTCAATTCCCTGACAGGAAGGAAGTCTACCAACTCGCAAGTAAGCTCAATTATCTCCCCGAGCGAGATCAATAATTTTTTCTGTTCCATTAACACTGATCCCCTTTATAAACCCATTGACACTGTCACTATCCCGGAATCAAGCGAGATGCCTGTTTTAACGGTCTCCAGTGTTACCAGGAGTCTACTGAAATTAAAAAGAACTGCCTCTGGTCCAGATGGAATCCCGTACTGGTTTTAAAAAGAGTTTGCGTACGACCTCGCTCCTGTTGTTACCCATATTTTCAACTGTTCTTTGGAAAATCACATTGTGCCTGATCTTTGGAAATTGGCCGACATAACTCCCTTGCCTAAAGAGCCCAACTTTAAAAATTGCACACAGTTGCGGCCTATTTCGCTGACTAATGTAATAATGAGGGTTTTTGAACGTCTTGTATACAGACAAGAATTATCTCAATATATGAAGAACTTCATTAGCTTCGACCAGTTTGCATACCGCAAAGGCCACAATACGACAATGGCCTTAATTAAGTGTCAATATGCTTGGCTGAAATGGCTTGAGTCGGGTTTTGATTGTGTTAGAATCTTCTCTTTTGATTTCAGCAAAGCTTTTGATTCGGTCCCTCATGATATCCTCTGCTCTAAGTTGAAAACACTTGATATAAATCCATACGTGACCAATTGGATTATTAGTTTTTTACAGAACAGGAAACAAAGAGTTGTTGTTGATGCCATTGTCACAGACTATGTAAATATCAATAGAGGTGTCCCTCAGGGGACAGTTTTAGGCCCTATACTATTTTCTATTATGGTCAATGATATTAAGGCCATTCTACCAAATCAGAATTTACTTGTGAAATATGCTGATGATTTAACATTAAGTATTCCAGTAAAATCGCTGGCTAATAACGGCAATTTAGCAGCTGAGGAGGTCCGATCGATCGTCGCATGGACATCTGCTAATCGTATGCAACTAAACTTCAAGAAAACGTGGGAGATGCTTCTTAGAGGCAAATCCAAATCCACTAAGGCCTTACCTGCTCCTCTGGTTTCTATAGAGCGTAAACCATGTCTGAAGTTGTTGGGTGTAACTTTTCAATCTGATCCGTGTAACTGGGACTTACATTTTGATAATATTATATCGAAAGCCAGTAGTCGTCTGTACATCTTACGTGTTTGTAAATTCTATGGACTGCCGCTGGATCATCTTCATCTTCTCTTTATCAGTCTTATTCTACCTATATTTACATATGCTGTAGAAGTATGGGGCTGCGCGTATTATCATAAGTATCTGAGTCGCATAGACAGGCTGTTTAAGAGAGCTTTTAAGCTTGGCTACTGTAAAGAGCTTTTTTCGATTGAAAATATTATCATTCTAAAAGATAAGAAGTTGTGGGCCAAGATCACCGACAGCGATTTTCCAACAGCTTTAGATGACCTTTTGCCACCAGAGCGAACAATGGATACGCTACGTAAGAGGCGCCATAATTATATTCTCCCGCTTGTCAGAACTGAACGTTTCAAAAGGACCTTTATTAATAGATGTTTGTTCTCTTATTAGTTATTCAGTTAGTAATTTAGTTAGTTTATTAGTTTTATACTTGCTGATTTCATATCATTGTAACTAAACACGTTTGTTGTTTAGAGTGCTTAATAAAGACTTATTATTATTATTATTATTATTATTACAACAGCGAAGAGAATCCAACACTAGGACATTGCCACAGCCACGTTAAATTTCTGAGTAATAGATTATTGGCTATTCGAAGCGGATTATCTTCCTTTTACAAAAGTACTGCATAGTACAGTATAGTATCGCACTGAATTTAAAGCCGGAATATCGGTAGAGAAGGACTGGAATGCTTCACGAAAAAATGGCCACAACAACAAGCTGAGCTAAAACAGCGTGGAGAATCTAAAGCTAGGACATAACTACAGGTATGTTAGATTTCTGAGTAATGGAAGTATATTATAGTTGAGTCTAGTCTACCGGAGGAGCTAACGTCGTCTCGAGTTTGCCAGAATTAATATAAAAGAGCAACGGGCCTTTTTTACGATTTAAGAGCTTGAGACATTTTACTTTCTGCAGCTAGAGAAGCCCATTTTTAGCGGCTTTGCATCACTGAGAAGGTAATTTAAGAATTATAACAATGTGATACTAACCTGTGTAAGATGGGTTTGTTGGCTGGTAGGAAAACCCTGATCCGTTGCATAGAGCAGTTGGAGGAGAAAGTCGTGGTCGATCAGCACTACAGGTCATCTGAAAGAGGTAAGGCCGGCATGTTTTGATTGCAACAAGTTGTTAGTTTTTCTCTTTTCAGCATGACCTCGTGGCTCACTTCGGATCACGTCATAAACAAGAAGCACATCGAGGGCTTCATTGGTAATATGTAATAATTTGTAAGAATTATCCTTTTTTCTAGACTATCTGAAATTTTCTGTTTTCGGTGCAGAGCAGTCTAGCGAGGTGCAGTGAACTGACTGTCCTGTATGGTACGTTCCAGTCCAATCCAGGGTAGTGAAGTCTGGTGAAGTCAAGCTCAGCCTAAGACAGTCCAGTCCAGTGAAGTGCAGTGCCGTCCATTTCAGTCTTCTGAAGTGCTGTCCGGCTCAGACCAGTCCAGTCCAGTCCACTGACGTGCGGTCCAGTTCATTCAGTGGATTCTGCGCCCGTCTAGTCCAATACTGTTCGTTCCCATCCAATTCCATTCACTCCCTTCCAGATAAGTACATTTCAATCCAGCTTACCCCAGGTCCATATAAGTCAATAGCAGTCGAGTCTAGTCCAGTGAAATGAAGTGCAGAGCAGTGCAATCCGTAACAGCTCAGCCCAGTCCCATCCCGTCCAGTCCAGAACAACTAAAGGCCGCCGAGTCTAGGACAACGCAGTCCTACTCAGTCAAGCTAGGAACAACCAAGTGCACTGCGGCTCGTCCAGTCAAGTGAAGTGCTACTCGGAAAAGCCCACATTTAAGCCCAAATAGGTGTATTTCAGTCCAGTGTTATCTTCAGTTGTCACACCAACACAAGGAAGAGCGTCTACTTGCATTGTCGTAGAAAGGTCTTCTTTAATGATACCTAAGGCCACTTGGGCTTTACTTTTAATAAAAGTGTACCAAATAACTTAAAAACAAACAGAAATAACTGATAATCAATAAAATATAAAATAAAGAAATAAATATATCTCAATAACTGATAACATTGATTAATTCTTGAAGAACTAAAGAAATGATGAATTAATAGGGAGATCAATAAATATGTAAATAAATTGATATATAAATAGGTTGAGAAATATTTACGTTGTTAAATAAGATTTTATCGTATAGTCAATGTATTAACAATCTCTTTGCAGAATATTAAAATACAGTGCCACGTTATCTTGGAGGTTTGCAAGTATCTTTTCTCACAAGACTAAGTTTTACCAAGACGTCAGCTGACCTTTAGAAAGACAAAGGCAACCACAGGGTCGCTAGTGATTCATGGCTGAATTTGCAACACTGGGATATCAGTAGAGTAGGACTGGAATGGATAATCATAAAAACAAGCTGAGAACCAGCTGCGAGGAAAATCCAAGGCTAGGACATAACCAGAGGTACGTTAAATTTCTGAGTAAAAGATTGAAGGCTACTCGAAGCTGATTGTCTTCCTCTTACAAAAAGTACTACATATTGTAGTATAGTATTGAGATTAAAGCACGGATATCAGTAGGGGGTGGACTAGATTGCTTCGTTAGAAGATAGTCATTACAACAAGCTGAGCTACAACAGCGAGGAGAATCCAAAGCTTGGACATAACCACAGGTATGTTTAATTTCTGACTAATAATTTAAAGGCTAGCCGAAGCGGATTGTCTAACTCTTAAAAAAGTGCTACATAGTATAGTATAGTAAAATATTGAATTTAAAGCTGGTATGTCAGTAGAACAGGACTGGAGTGCTTCATGAAAAGAGAACCATAACAACAAGCTGAGCTACAACAGAGAGGAGAATCCAAAGCTAGGACATAACCACAGGTATGTTAAATGTCTCAGTAAAGGAAGTATAGTCTAGTCTAGTGTAAGAGTAAAGGTTGTCTCGAGTTTGCCAGAATTAATATAATAGAGGAGCGCGCCTTTTTTTTCCATTTTAGAGCTTGTGACATTTTAACTTTCTGCAACTCACGTGAAGCCCATTTCAGCGACTTTGCATCAGTGAGAAGATAAGTAAATAATCATAACAATATGATACTAACCTGCGTAGGATGGGTTCGTTGGCTGATAGGAAAACCTTGATGCGTTGCCTGAGGCAGTTGTAGGAAAACGTTATGGTCGATCAGCACTACAGGTCAACTGAAAGAGGTAAGGCCGGCATGTTTTGATTGCAACAAGTTGTGTTAGATTTTTTTTCCTTTTTTCAGCATGACCTCGTGGCTCAGTTTGGATCAGAGCAGGACTGGTGTGCTTTATAAAAAGAGAGCCATAACAACAAGCTGAGCTACAACAGAGAGGAGAATTCAAAGCTAGGACATAACCACAGGTATGTTAAGTGTCTCTGTGAAGGAAGTATAGTATAGTAT